CTATGTTTTTCCACGGGGACATTCGTAGTCATCAATATCCTGTAATACCGAAGAACCCGTGTGCTCCTTTATCTTAGAGACATCATGGAACACTCCTATAACTATTACTGTACTTTTAGGCAGAAAATACTGTTCTAGACACCGTAGTTTCTCTGTTTAGTAAATATGCTTTTCCATACGTCATTGCTTCATTGGTTCATTGTACCATGCACAACATTGATTGAGAGTCAGTTGACGGCCGCTTTATCTGGAAATCGTGCATACGAGCCCCAGGTATGAACGACACGACCATTGTATTTTATCTCAGGCCTTGATCGCCGCATGGCTTATGAAATGACAGGATTTGAATGACGTTATTATGACGTCATGAATGCCAAAATGCTCTCCTCGAAATACTCTCCCCATTTTCGCGGGCGTGCAGCTCAAAAACTAAAGTGGCTTAGATCTTAAGAACGGCAAAGCTGTGAACTGCTCTGAAAAGTCTTCTCCTCCTTTAAGAGTGTTTCATATTTATGTGGGGTTTTGAGGTTGAGACAACTTTTCAGTGGGTCCAAAGCGACCAAAGACTTTTTACTCAGGTGGTGGGGTTTTTCGCCGCCTTTGTCCCCCACAACTGTCAGGGAAGTCACTGGTGCGTTCCCGCCAACCTCCATCAAATAACCACAAATTGTGAAGGCACTTACGTATGTTGTCTTATGTTATGTGCTCACGCTTGTACGTATGTTTTGCATGTGACATCCCATAAGCACAAATTTTGAGGGTACGTACGCATTTTACGCTCTTACACAGCCTGTTGCTAAGTGTTTCCAGCTAAGGTTCTTCGGAATTGATCACTGTTGAATGGGATGCTCCACCTCTCTGTCGGAGGCAGGTCGGGAGCGCATTTCAAGGCTAATTTTGCAGCTGTGGTGCAAACCAATGTAATTTACCAGCTGACGATGCTTCATCAAATGTGCTGGATCGAAAACCAATCTGGTTTATGTAAATACTTTATTTACACCAGCCAGGGGCGAATACAGGATTTCAAGGGGGGAGGACAGGCAACATCGTGGGGCCTCCTAGAGTTTGGGCCCTCCAAAAATATCCCTGCATTTCATCTATAAAATTTTGAGATAAGTAGTATGTAAGATATATATACATACACAAACGCACACGTATATATATATATATATATATATATATATATATATATGCGCATGTATCTATATACATGTACATGTCTGTGTGTGTGTGTATGTGTTTGTTAGATAAATAAATTACCAATATTACTGTGCGCAGCCCCATAAAGCTTGACGTGCTACGTATGCACATACATGGAGCTCATTCATTTTTTACAAATCACTTTAAATCCCGTGAGTTTGAGGCTAAGCGTTTCAGAAAAAAACAGGCAAAGGAAACTGAAGTTGGCTGCCAAGTACTACTAAAACCAAGTACGGACTTGATTTTTAGGTTATTCACGGCTAGCCGCCTGTGCTGATGGCTGATGACCAACGCAGAATTTTTCCTTTATTATAAAGAAGTACAAAATATGCTAGCATTCAAAATACCTTCAGAACGTGCTGCACACGCATAATAAGTGCCACACATCCAATAGCCAAGGCAAATGTCACGTAGGAGGTCGGCGGCAAGTGTTAAAATTACGTTCGACCGTTGCGCGTAAAAACTCATCGGTGCATATCCGACTGCTGCTTTAAGGCTAAATAGCCATCATGAGTGCCGCAAGAGACCAACAAAGAGGCCTCCGTAGAAAGTATAGGGTCCTTACCTTACAGAAGCCCTAGCAACAGCACAAGGCCCTCCGAGCAAGTGAAAAGAACCGGAGATTAATATAAGCGGCCCCTGAGCAACTGAATGTACCCTGGCATATGGGACCCCAGAAAAAGTGCATAGAGCCGTTCGTGCCAATGGGAAGATTCCGCGGACGACAGCCTGCCTCATCGATCAAAAGTGCCCAGGCACGGAAGCAGACAGCGTCCCAACAGCAGCGCTTGGCCCTACGAGAAAATGCAAAGAAATCAAGGGCAGCGTGGAAGGCTCCTTGGCGATTAGATTGACCTGGCACGTCGACATATACGGCCCGGGCAATGGCATAATGCCTCTGGGCTGCGTAATGAGCCCCAAAGTTTCCCCCAAGAAAACCTTCTCAATCGGCGAAAAATTAAATTTATCTGCTCATGAACTCGTTACTTTTGCTAGAAACCGTTCTTGGTCGTCTGTGGCCCAAATATGTCCAATTTCGTTGTGTTTTTGCTTTGTTAGAAAACTGCATCCGTTCGGCCGGTAATGGCCCCTTCAAAGCCTATAGGTCACCTCGACATAGCCCATGGGCATGGTCCTGTTCTGCCCTCCCCCCACTCACCTCCGTATCCGCTATCGGCCCGAGCAGCTTAATAGCTGGGGCCCGCCAGGAACATAGGGCGATCCATTCAAATAAGTGCCCAACACATAGCGTGGAGGGCACCGGAATGATCGGGTGTGCCCGAGCGGGTGAACAGATGACGCCGTCGACAAGAGCACAGGACCCTCCGTTCAAACAAGAAATACTCACGACACAACGTGGAGAGGCCCCTAGCAATCGAGCATGCCCGAGCAGCTTAACGTGTGGGACCCCGTCAAGAGCGTGGAGCCCTCTATTCCCATAGGAGGTATAGACCGACCCAATGTAGAGGGCCCCCGAATGATCGAGTGTGTCAGAGCTGGTTAACAGAAAGGGCTCACAACGAGAACGTAGAACCATCCATGCAAGAAGGAAGCACTCAAAGCCCAGTGCGCAAGGGCCCCCGAAAGATGGGGTGTACCCGAGCAGATTATCAAATGACCTCCGACAGAAGTGTAGGACCCTAAGTTAAAACAACAAGATCCAATATAGAGCTCAACAGAGCTCCCGAACAATCTAGTGTTGCCGAGGAGGTGAACCGATGGGGACCCTATGATGTTTAATGATGATTATGATGGGGCGTAGGGCCCTCCGTTCAAATATAAAGTACCTGTGACCCAATGTGGAAGGACCCCAAACAATCCAGTGTAGCTGAGGAGGCAAAGAGGGGCCCCCACAGATGTGTCGGACCCCATTCAAATAGGACGTACCCAAGACCCAATGTAGATGGCCCTCGAGCGATCGAATGTGCCCGGGCAGGTTATCAGATAGGCCCCCAACAAGAGCGTAGGGCCCCCATTCAAATCAGAAATACCCCAACCCAATTTGGAGGGCTCCGAGAGATCGAGTGTACCCGAGCCGACTATCAGATGGCCCCGGACAAGAGAGTAGGGGCCCATTTAAGTACCCAATGTACATTTAAGTACCCAATGTGTAGGGCCCTAACAATTCAGCGCACCCGAACAGGTTAACAGAAGCGGCCCCGACCATTGTGTGAGTTCCTACATTCAAATAGAAAGTACCCGAGACCTGGGAAACTAAGCAAGTGACAGAGACTTGGAAGCGCCCCGGACCAATGTAGAGGACCCATGACCTTATCGCAAGTGTGTCGGTAGGTTAATCGAGACTAACGTAATGGGCTTCTGAGCAACCGAGAGTACCCAGGTAGGTTTACGTGAGGGGCTTTAACCCACGGAGCCTTTCTGGCGGATGGGAAGCACTTCGGAGCCCCTGACTGACAAGAGCGCTCCGGCACGCTAGCAGGAAGGGGCCAGCAACAGTGTAGAGTTCTCAGAGAAAATGCAAAAAAAAAATTAAGGGCAACGCGGAAGGCTTTCTAACGATCACAATGACCCTGCAAGCGGTCGTGGAGATCCCCCGAAAACAGTATAGGGCTCCTGGATAACGTAGTGAGGCTTAAAATTTCCAAGTAACATTTTTTCAATCATTTAAGATTCTTGTCTTCTCATGGACCCTTCGCTTTCACTTGCAACCGTTTTGGTCGCCTGGAAGTCCAAACGTGTCCAATTTGTTACGTATAGTGTTTAAAAACTGCACCTTTTCGGTCGGCTATGGCCCCTTCGGTACCTATGGGGCTCCTTCAAGACTCAAGGGGGCATGGCCCCGTGGCCCCCCTTCTCGATCCGCCCCTGACACCAGCCCGCAAAGAGCAGCGTTTTCACGCCGCCGTAACATTGGTACCATGTGATTTAGTCCCATCGTAACGTCGCAGCGTCGTCTACCCAGAATGCAGCAATGCAAGTGGCTTGGCCCGACCATGCACTTTGTGGGAATCGATAAAATCGAACTTTTGTATATGTACTGTCCTTGAGACTGCATGTTTTAGGTGTCATATTTATCTTCATAATGATCATGCAACGGATCAAGACGTCAAACGAAAAAAAGAACTTCGCTAGCATTCTGTATCGACACACCAAAAAGAACATATGCACCATACGAAGCCTTGAACGAACGACGGTAAAGGCCATAAATGCTGAATATGCTGTGGTTAAGAGAAAACCTGCTCCAAAAGTACAGACGTGTAATACTAAGTCTATATATATATATATATATATATATATATATATATATATATATATATATATATATATATATATCTCTCTCTCTCTCTCTCTCTCTCTCTCTCTCTCTCTCTCTCTCTCTCTCTCTATTCTATATTATAATATATATAATATATATATATATATATATATATATATATATATATATATATATATTCTCTCCTCTCTCTCCTCTCTCTCTCTCTCTCTATATATATATATATATATTAACATTCTATATTATATAATATATATATATATATTAACATACATATTAGCATATATATGTATGCCCATCATCTCGCCTCTCCCCCTTTCTCTCTCGCTTTTTTCCCCTCTCTCTCTTTCTCTCTCTCTCTTTCTCTCTCTCTCTCCCTCTCTCTCTCTCTTTCTTTCTCTCTCTCTCTCCCCTCTCTCTCTCTCTCTCTCTCTCTCTCTCTCTCTCTCTCTCTCTCTCTCTCTCTCTCTCTGCCGCCAGTCAGATAGACGCGGGCTCGGGAGAGAGGGGGAGGGGAAGAGGGCATCGTCGGACGTCGCCGCGTCGCCAGACGGAGCGCTGGGGCCGGTGACGACGGGGTCGCCCGCGACGCCTGGCAGGTAGGCGACCTGGAGCCCTGGTGCTCGTGCCTTTTTGAGCGAGTAGTCAGCGTAGAGGGACGTGGTGGGAACGTTGACCATGGGACCAAACGGACCCGCGGTGTTTGCCAGTGTGTTAAATTCGTCTGCCACCTGAACCGACATGCCTTACAAGGAGAATGTCGCACCCGCAGCCTTCCACAAAATAACTCAGCCGTAAATGCCCGAAATTAGTAATTCCTGTGCGAGGAACAAGAGCTGCGCTGTCGTCGTGGGGCGCACGGGCGCGCTTTCCAGAACGGCCCTGTCGAGACCGACCGGGAAGCCGTGTTTCTCTTACGAAAATCCCTCGTGTGCGCTTGGTCAGTCCCTACGCGACTCGACAAGCTGGTTAGTGCGTACGCTTCTCATCACGCCTAACGCATGTCTTCGGGCCCACACTTGAGGCCCGCGCGATGCGTGCTTCATTGTCATCAACCATATGTGTAGGCTGAAGCTGCGTAGGGGTACGGGGAGGGGGGGGGGGAGACTGGACACTAGGATGGACGAGCCAATGCTCTGGGTGGAACTGTATCGGAGTGAGGGATGTCACCGCTGATCTGGAATGCTAACACTTTACTTCATCGCTTTTCATTGCATGCGTTCAAGGCTACTGCGAGCCTCAGTATGAAAACGAGTGTGTCAAATTATAAAGTCTCTGACTGTAATAAGACATAACCGCACCTAATCGTCCTTCGAAGTAGACGGTTACAAACGGCACGTAAGGAACTGTGTTAACAAACGGCACGTAAGGTACTGTGTTAACGTTTGATCGGCGAAAATGCGCGGCCTGCGAGGTTGTTCCAGTACGCAAAACAATGGCAGATGCCGATCTGTGCTGCATGAATTACGCGATGTTGCCGCGATACATTGCATTGTTATCTTAAGAAATAGCTTCGTGAGATCTAAAACATGTGTGAAAACAGTTTTTCAGTCATGATGAACTCATGAAAAAAGATAAACAATCATTTTGCAGGCTTCAGATGTCGCTAGTGGCGGCAGAGTAATAGCGTGGTTAGACTTAATGTTGAAGTGTCCTTAGCGGCACGCTGAGCAGTGAACAAAATTTGGGAAGTGTTTCAAAGAGTCCTGAAGAGGACCGTTCCTCCTTGCATTCTCAGTAAGCCACAAACTGATCTCAGATGAGATTACATGGCAAAGTGTCTCATCGTGGAAGCCATGCTGCGTCCTTCCAAGATAACTTTCGGCATAAATTCTCAAATGCAGTGTAACAGTCACTCCCGTTAAAAGTGTAGCTAAGCCCCATTTTGTGGTATTTTGTTGCGCATTGCTCACCAGGAGCCCTCCCTCACAACTGAAGAATTGTTGCTAAGGGCGCTATGGGAACTCTTTAACTAGCTGCTACGGTCCCCAGGTGGCCATTGTATTGGCTAGAACTTACAAGTTCGTGCTGCAGCCATATTCTAACAGAATCTCCTAAAAGATGTTTTTTTCCAAAACGGAAAGGAGCCGAGTTCCATGGAGCAAGAAACTCAAAGGGTTTCATTTTAAGCCCCAACGGATTTATAAACGAAAGAAAACGCATATTTAGACCAGCACACCTTCCTCCAGCTAATCAAGTAATCCTTGTGATGTGGCGTGATGTGTGTTGAGTGTATCCGGCCATAACACGCCATGCCAGACCCCAAGAGATTTAGCCACACGCCGTGGAGACGCCATCCAGAAAATTAATCACCTAGAACTGCTCGTCAGCGTATGAAAATTCATATCACTTGCGCTTGTTCTCCCCCTTCTGCTCGCACGCTCGCCTTCATGCACGGCACGTTCAGCGTTCCAAGGCGTATCAACGGTCACCAGCCTGACTTTGCACGCGTGTTTCTCCGCTTCTTGCAACGAGGTGACTTGCTTCGTGAGTTTGCCACCACCCAACAATCTTTTTCATGCGAGAGACACGTGTGGAGCGTCCGCAGTTGCAGTGCAAGACGTGTTACGTGGTACTATTATATATATACCAATATATATATAATATATATATATATATATATATATATATATATATATATTCTTATTACAATAATAAATGACTATGTCTATTTTGTGGTCGTTTTTGCCTTTAACATGTTGAGAGATAATTTCCCGTGAAGCTTTTTCATCCTGTTTGTGAGCAGATGTCATTTGATTTTGATAGTACAGTTTGACGGTCGGTTGGATGTCTTGCCTTGGTTTGCTGTCAAAGTGTCTTGTCATATGTCGTTGTGTCTCGTTTTCAATGTCAGAATTTGAAAAACCGTTGTTCACCAGGATCTGTTTGATTCGTGTCAATTCTGAATGTAGTCCTGTCCAATCAGAGCAGTGCTTAAATGCTCGTCGAAGAAAGGACCTTATGACGCTAATTTTGTAGCGTCGAGGACACTCACTGTCAGCATTTAAGCACCGTCCGTTGTTAGTCTGTTTTCGGTATACAGTCGTTTTGAATTGTTGTCCTTGTCCGTCAACAGCTACGTCAAGAAAGGGTATTACGTTTTGCACACTTTGCTCTGTTGTGAATTTTAAGCCAGACCGTTCTTCAAATGTGTTTTTGAGATGTCCTAGTTGGTCAATGTCCCTAACTTCTACAAATATATCGTCTACGTAGCGGCAGTAAATGTCCGGTCTTATGTCGTCATTTTGTAGTATGTCGGTTTCTACGTGTCCCATAAAGAAATTAGCGAATAGGGGTCCTAGAGGTGAGCCCATCGCAACACCCTCAATTTGGCAATACATTCGGCCATCAGGCCCGCGGAAAGGAACTTTCCAACGTGCAGGCTTTTTAGTATTGTTCAAGGAGGCGCCTTGATATTTTGAGAGGAGGAATTTCAGGATGGTTGTAGACGCGGTCGAGGATGATGGATATGGTTCTTTCAATAGGCACGTTTGTAAATAGATTTTCAACATCTAGAGAGGCTAGCTAGGCCCTTAGGTTGACGAGATCGCACTATATCAATAAACTCATCCGTCGATGACAAGCTGTAAGACATGGGAATATATGGGGACAGAAGACCTTTAAGGACGTTTTGCAATTCTATAGGTTGGTGAAGGGATCTGTGCGATTATTGGCCGAAGGGGGTTGCCGGTTTTTGTGAGTTTTCACAGACCCATAAGCATAAGCCAGGCGCATAATTTCACCCGTTATCTTGGGAAAGTGTATGCCATCAACAGCGGCATTGGCAGCAGGCGAATTAGTTTGTAGAAACTCAAGACCAAGCTTAACAAAACTTAATCGCTGCTGCCAATGCCGCTGTTGATGGCATACACTTTCCCAAGATAACGGGTGAATTTGCGCCTGGCTATGCTTATGGGTCTGTGAAAACGGCAACCCCCTTCGTCCAATAATCTCACAGATCCCTTCACCAACCTATAGAATTGCAAAACGTCTTAATGGTCTTCTGTCCCCATATATTCCCATGTCTCACAGCTTGTCATCGACGGATGAGTTTATTGATATAGTGCGATCTCGTCAACCTAAGGGCCTACTAGCCTCTCTAGATGTTGAAAATCTATTTACAAACGTGCCTATTGAAAGAACCATATCCATCAATCATCCTCGACCGCGTCTACAACCATCCTGAAATTCCTCCTCTCAAAATATCAAGGCGCCTGCTTGAACAATTACTAAAAGCCTGCACGTTGGAAGTTCCTTTCCGCGGGTCTGATGGCCGAATGTATTGCCAAATTGAGGGTGTTGCGATGGGCTCATCTCTAGGACCCCTATTCGCTAATTTCTTTATGGGACACGTAGAAACCGACATACTACAAGATGACGACATAAGACCGGACATTTACTGCCGCTACGTAGACGATATATTTGTAGAAGTTAGGGACATTGACCAACTAGGACATCTCAAAAACACCTTTGAAGAACGGTCTGGCTTAAAATTCACAACAGAGCAAAGTGTGCAAAACGTAATACCCTTTCTTGACGTAGCTGTTGACGGACAAGGACAACAATTCAAAACGACTGTATACCGAAAACAGACTAACAACGGACGGTGCTTAAATGCTGACAGTGAGTGTCCTCGACGCTACAAAATTAGCGTCATAAGGTCCTTTCTTCGACGAGCATTTAAGCACTGCTCTGATTGGACAGGACTACATTCAGAATTGACACGAATCAAACAGATCCTGGTGAACAACGGTTTTTCAAATTCTGACATTGAAAACGAGACACAACGACATATGACAAGACACTTTGACAGCAAACCAAGGCAAGACATCCAACCGGCCGTCAAACTGTGCTATCAAAATCAAATGACATCTGCTCACAAACAGGATGAAAAAGCTTCACGGGAAATTATCTCTCAACATGTTAAAGGCAAAAACGACCACAATATATATATATATATATATATATATATATGTATATATACCAAGACTACATACGTGTTAGATGGAGTCCGGAATGTCGCCCTGTAATGGTCTCCGTTAGGATGTGGTGGCAGTAGGGAGAACAGACAGCCCACTTGAAGGACGTTCATACACTGCCACTGAAAAGGCTGCATTGCTGTTGGCCTTGGCTGCGAAAACCCGTGGCCAGCATACAGCAACTCTTATAGCTGACCAAATATCAATACTGATATAACCAGTGGCTAATGTTATGATGAAGATCAGGAAAGGGATGTTGGATGTCATACAGAGACACTTACTGATGACGGGCAAGGCCACAGGCCCAGCGAGCATTGCTTGATTTGCGATGATTTAGTTATGACACATTGTTTTCTACTTGAGTGACGTGCCTCGGCCCGTCCGGTCGCCGCGCTGTCCAAAAACTAATTTACAAGCACTGCTCTCCAAGGCGTCAATGCACAGTTAACAATGGCCAATGCATCATGAACGCTTGCAAGGTACGGATAACAATTTTCCTGTGTGATATTTATCTTTTTCCCATTTGCATGGGGAAGAGAGTAGTTTGGCAAAAAATATTAAAACACATATTCCAATTACAAATACATTCCAAGTGAATTCCGAAAAGGTGGTTATCGGCT